TGAAGTGTGCTGGGGGAGAAATCCCCAAGGGACTGATAACAGTCTGTTAATGATGGGAGATCTCAGATTTATTAGTATGAAACACCACTGGTATTATACAAACATCTGCACCTCTGTGCATCTGATGATGAAAAACATTCCTCGGGTTTTCTTGAAATATATGCGTTCCAAAATAATATAAAATCCAATATATCGCACTACCGGTGTTTACAGGTCTGTATTAGATGCCACATTTCACCTAGCTTAAATGTCCATTATAATTATCCATACTTACAACATTCTAGTGTGCATATGCTACAGTTACAAGGTGTCTTAAAGACCAGGACCCTTTGCAAACATATTGCTTGAGAATATGCTACAGGACCCAAAGGACAGTGCAGATTAACAGACAGATGAAACTCAACAAATTCAACAAGCACATATTCATGCCTTTTCCCTTCAAAAGCCCACCCTGAAGTTCCACAAGCTACATCTGTCTTTCGTTACATAAGTGTGGTATTTTCTCTGCACTGACACGCTGCCATGCCACCCTTACCTGCTGGGAGAGTCGCCTTGTCCTCAGGAAGAATCCGAGCAGACAGCCGATGGTGACGGACAACACCGAGAGGATGAGCAAACCATTCCTTTTACAAACATCCTTGATCCGAGCGAGGATTGCATCCAAAGCCACCGCCATGCTGTCCTCCCTGCTCTTTGGACAAGAATCAGCATCCCATGGAGAGAGAATCCGCTCGCTCCTCTCGTTTGGGTGGACAGATCTAGCTCTGTATAGATCAGATCAAAGCACTTCCAGTTCTGCTTAGCTGACCCGCAAGGTCACCCCTCTGCCAATAGCCACCAAGCAAGCAGCTGGCATTATTGTTCCAAATTAATACCAACAATCCTATTATCAACTACATCATTAAGAGCCTGGAAGAAGATTAGGGGGCTCTGGAAAATTAGAACAGAATGCAGTAGTATTTCTAAAACAAGACTAGTTGAAAACAAAGTGACACTCCCAGGACGCTGCCCACTCTGGGGTCTGGACACCCCAACCTGCGAAGGGAACGCTGGGAGTCAGCAAACAGGGAACAGGAACGTCACCGCAGAGCTGCTCAAGGGCAGAGCAGGTAACATTTTGAACAGGACTATCACAACAGGGCAAGTTAGGTGAAACTGCACTTCATTAATTAAAGCAGGGTTGGGTTTTTTGTTTTCATGGCCAAAAAAAAGCTTGAATGAGCAGCACGAGAGACATACATCGAGCAGGAAATAACCACAGGCTGAAACACGCAAGGACACCTTCTGACAATTTGGCATTTATTATCTTGGAAGTGAAATGATTTCACTTTTCTTCCAACCACTATGTTGATTAGAGTAGGGCCAATTTACTTTCAGAGGATTATCAGACTAAGCCACAGGGATTGCTTTCCTTTCCTTTGCTGTGTCCGCATTCAATCCCAACACTGATTTTTTTGCTAGTGAGTGTCTGATAAAAATACACCACCAGGACCATTCACCATGCCATGCCGTTTTACAAAAGCATTTACGCAGTTCCTGGGATATTCTGAGATTATTCAGCATCTTTATGGGAAATATTCCAGACAGTACCAAGTTGTGTGTTTACAATATTAGATTTTATACTGCGATACAGTATTTGCTGTTACACGCTCATGTATGATTAAAAAAGCTCAAGAGAGATTAAACTGTTCTCTTTGGATATCTGAATCCTGTAGAGCCAGTAGGACATATGGATACACACACAAAAAAAAGAAAATACGTGGAGTCTGTATGTTGGACAAGAGCACTGTCAAAACACGAGGAGCACAGAAAAAATTATTAATGCACCAGAAAGGTTTATTAATGTGCATGCAAAAGACATCACAGAACGGGTCAGGCTGGAAGGACACACAGTGTGTCCACTCAGGACCATCCTGGAGCACACGGCCCAGGACTGCGCTCACACATGGGGACATCGCCCCGCGCCAGACATTCCCCGATATTCGAGGAATATCAGCAAAACGCTACACGCGACGCTCTC